AAAACTATTTAAGTCATAAAAATATAAAATAGCATCTTAGATAGCTAAGACAAAACTGCACAGATTACATATAAGTCGTTAGGGATGTGGATAAAGATTTTAATTATTACTCTGGATTAGTCCCCAGAGTTAGGCATTTTATCCCAGGAAACTGGCCAGAAGGCAAAACTTAGACCGACTCGGTTTAGGTGTGACGTAGGGGCTCTCTGATATGTCCGCGCACGGTTTTAAAAAGGGGAGCACACGAGGTAGGGGTCATTTCGAGCTTTGGTCAGCATACCTGCAGTGTGCCTTTGTTCAGTGCGGCCCATTGGAACGCTCTGTAAGTAGAGGCAATTACGCCATTTTTATTTCTTTGTGGTTAGTAGGAACTTGTTGAGTGTTAGCATTGGAAGATTTCTGTTCAGACTTATAACCAGGATAGAGTGTAGGATAACCTACAGCGTGTAGACTTATGCTCATGCTATTTTAAAGGTTAACATACAACCGTTAAATAAATTATTTAATAGGATTAATAAATAGATACCAGTGACCAGGGTTTGTGCGTAACAAACAACTGCATATCGTTCTGGGTACACATACTGCAATGCGCTTATAAAATAAGCTATTGATACAACAGTATACAACCAGCGAGTGTCCGTCAAATATGTGTAATAGGCTAACTTTCCTGCCGTGTGCTAAATTCTCACATAGGAAATAGTGCATGTGTGAGGATCACATCCCATATAATTTAATTATGATTCATTCTGCAATCTGCTGTTGTCTTAACAAGACACAGCGATGGACAGATACAAGTATCAAGCCAACGGTAGTCATACTTAATACCGTTGTATTTACTGCCCCGCTATGTGTGCCTCTTACATAGACACCATACCTGGATGGCATACTATTATAACTTCAAGATCTTTAGAGTTTATGTTAGCCCTCACATCGCACTCTGGTTCTGTGTGTAGCATTAACACTGTGCACGTGTTTCAAATTAAACACTGCACGTGGTTTCTTTTATAGTTAAAACATTCGTAGTACAAGATAATTATCTTTGCCATGTGTATGAACCAATACTACTTACGTATCATTTATCATGCTTTCTAGTTAAGTATATGTTGTCGCCACGTGTAATTACGTGGTTATGTAATATGTTTATTATTAGCTTTGTTAGTCAGGACATTGTTAACCTGTACTATTTGTTTATTTTCAGATATTGTCCTTTTTCTTTCCCGTTTTTCTTTCCCTTTTTCTTCATAGTCTTCTTCTCCATAGTTCATAGTGTCCTCTTTCTTGTTTTCATCATAGTAGGGAATTAATTAAAAAGCTATAGTCCTCAAGACCTGATTGTTTCATTTTGATTTTATTTAAAAACTGTAAGCTAAACGTCATCCACTCGGCTACAGTTTTTGGCGCTGCGAGCAGGGTCAATTTACACTACTAGTGTTTTGGCGTTGTCACCTAAGTCAACCCTAAACCACCACACTACTACAGTTTTTGGCGCTGCGAGCAGGGTCAATTTACACTACTACAGTGTTTTGGCGTTGTCACCTAAGTCAACCCTAAACCACCACTCTACTACATATAGATGCCTTAGAATCGAAAGACATATCAAAGTCCTATTTAAAGTGTCGAAAAGAAGGACACAGAGTATTTGTGCATATTCTATTTCTGATAAATTCTAGAATGTTGATTGGCTAACTAAAGTACCTATATGATCGATTAACACGAGAGAAATTGTATTGCAATGATCGTTGGTGGTTAATGATATGGTGATGACTGGTGCATAATGTTATGGTGATCATTGGTGGCTAATGATATGGTGATGATTGGTGGCTAATGATATGGTGATCATTGGTGGCTAATGATATGGTGATCATTGGTGGCTAATGATATGGTGATCATTGGTGGCTAATGATATGGTGATCATTGGTGGCTAATGATATGGTGATCATTGGTGGCTAATGATATGGTGATCATTGGTGGCTAATGATATGGTGATCATTGGTGGCTAATGATATGGTGATCATTGGTGGCTAATGATATGGTGATCATTGGTGGCTAATGATATGGTGATCATTGGTGGCTAATGATATGGTGATCATTGGTGGCTAATGATATGGTGATCATTGGTGGCTAATGATATGGTGATCATTGGTGGCTAATGATATGGTGATCATTGGTGGCTAATGATATGGTGATCATTGGTGGCTAATGATATGGTGATCATTGGTGGCTAATGATATGGTGATCATTGGTGGCTAATGATATGGTGATCATTGGTGGCTAATGATATGGTGATCATTGGTGGCTAATGATATGGTGATCANTTTTTTTTTTTTTTTTGAGGGAGGCAGAGTTTGTCAGTTAATAATACGTTTCCACCCTTGGGGAAATAATCACTATACCCCATTTAAAACTATCGATTTCTTGTTCTAGTCTCTGCTGTCAGATTAGTGCTTAAGGCGAAACGGTAGTTAAATACTATCAATAAATTGGTGTCAACCAGATGGTTAGTAAATAGACTCTATCTCCTGACATAAACCAGCTGACCTGGACCGTTCAGAACTCGGAATTCCTCTAATGTCATATCCCATCAACCAACTCAAGAATGAAATCAAACTTCGCCCACTATTTTCATGCAGCACCCAAAGCACCTCCATTGACCCAGCATCCTACGCCACTTCTAAGGGAACACACACCTGCCACCTCTCACATAACACCCCAAATGCCACCTCTCACACAACACCCAAAATGCCACCTCTCACATAACAACCAAATGCCACCTCTCACATAACACCCCCGTGCCACCTCTCACATAACACCCCCATGCCACCTCTCACATAACACCCCAAATACCACCTCTCACACAACACCCCAAATACCACCTCTCACACAACACCCAAAATGCCACCTCTCGCATAACACCCCCATGCCACCTCTCACATAACACCCCAAATGCCACCTCTCACATAACACCCCAAATGACGCCTCTCACATAACACCCCCATGCCACCTCTCACATATCACCCCCATGCCACCTCTCACATAATACCCCAAATGCCACATCTCACTGAACCATCACAAATATTCTTTTCCTTTAACACCACAGCCACACACTCACGTACCATTTCAACCTCCACCACCCCACCCCCCCATCATCCTCACCCCCTCCCAACATCATCTGCTGACACCCCAAGCACACTTTGAAACCCCCAGACCCACTAAGCAGAGGCAAAGCAGATCTAATGTGGGTCAGGATGATCAGGTCTGAGACGACATCGGCCAACAGCTTACGGTCAATGTACTCCGGGTATTAAATCCTAGGTCCCCGGTGGCAAGCCTACGGGTGACACACCAAAAGTCTCTGGTGGCACGTGGCGGTCTCCCATTGGATGGGATGTAGTATTGGTTTCCGATGGTCATTTTTTTAAAATTTATAACTTATCCTTGTCTTTCTTCTTCTCTGTAGTTTGTATTCTTCTCTGTATGTTATCTTCTTCTCTGTATGTTGTCTTTTTCTCTGTTTGTTTTCTTTTTCTCTGTATATTGTCTTCTTCTCTGTATGTTATCTTCCTCTCCATATGTTGATCAAAATATACCTGTTTGTTTTACTCTTTGAAGACCTTTCCCATGACCCCACAAATTTAAAATTTAAAAAGCAACTTGATCTAGCGAAGAATGTTTAATTAACGTTCAAATTCTGAAAAGCATTACTCACTTGATATCGCTTGCATACAAGTCAAGAAAGCCTCTGTTGGTGGCAGAGGACAGACAGGCGTGGCCATCAACGGCAACTATGATCATACAAGTCAACAAAGCCTCTGTTAGTGGCAGAGGACAGATAAGCGTGACCATCAATGGCAACTATGATCATACAAGTCAACAAAGCCTCTGTTGGTGGCAGAGGATATATAAGCGTGGCCATCAATGGCAACTATGATAATACAAGTCAACAAAGCCTCTGTTGGTGGCAGAGGACAGATAAGCGTGGCCATCAATGGCAACTATGATAATACAAGTCAACAAAGCCTCTGTTGGTGGCAGAGGACAGACAGGCGTGGCCATCAACGGCAACTATGATAATACAAATCAACAAAGCCTCTGTTGCTGGCAGAGGACAGATAAGCGTGGCCATCAATGGCAACTATGATAATACAAGTCAACAAAGCCTCTGTTGGTGGCAGAGGACAGATAAGCGTGGCCATCAATGGCAACTATGATCATACAAGTCAACAAAGCCTCTGCTGGTGGCAGAGGACAGATAAGCGTGGCCATCAATGGCAACTATGATCATACAAGTCAACAAAGCCTCGGCTGGTGGCAGAGGACAGATAAGCGTGGCCATCAACGGCAACTATGATCATACAAGTCAACAAAGCCTCTGTTGGTGGCAGAGGACAGATAAGCGTGGCCATCAATGGCAACTATGATCATACAAGTCAACAAAGCCTCTGCTGGTGGCAGAGGACAGATAAGCGTGGCCAACAACGGCAACTATGATCCGATCCCTTCCGATTTAAAACATCAATAACAAATGTGGATAGATCAGAATCTCTACTATGACCCACTGAGCGATTTAGAAAAAAAAAAAATAATATCTGTTTAAAAAAATAGTCCATACATTTTGAAGGTTATCAAGAGTTAGGTAACAAGTCAATATTATTGTTATTATCTTTCTCTCTCGCTCTCTCTCTCTCTCTATTTGTCTCTCTCTTTATCTCTCTCTTTCTCTCTCTCTCTCTCTTTCTCTCTCTATGCGTCTCTCCATCTCGTTATATCTCTCTATATCTCTCTATCTCTATCTCTCTCGATCTGTCTCTCTCTTTATCTTTCTCTATCTCTCTCTATCACTCTCTCTCTGTCTCTCTCTCTATCTCTATCTCTCTCTCTGTCTCTCTCTCTATCCCTCTCTCTCTGTCTCTCTCTCTATCTCTCGCTCTATGTACAACTCAAAGTAAACATAACGTGTTTCTCACAACTCAACTTGTTTATAATTCTGTTTCACGTGTTAGCCCTGGTTGGATGCCTTTGATCTTGTCCTGTCCAGCCTGGCATGTGGCACAGGTGTTCTCGTTACACTGTCTGGACACTGCACGTTCCATGGCAACACATTCAGGTAATTCAAGGCTTCATTTATACTCTGAGAGATACAATATATCAATGATAGCCTAGGCCTGTTTCCAAATTTTTTTTTTTTTTTTCGGTACATTTTTCATTTGCTGAAATTGAAGACCATCACTTAGATGTGAGTTAATTTAAATTTTTTTTTTTTTTATTTCAATTTCGCTTACGGTTTGTTTTTGTTTTTTTTATTTTCAAATTATTATTATAATTTTGTAATTTTTTTTTTTTTTACATTCAGGTAATTCAAGGCTTCATTTATACTCTGAGAGATACAATATATCAATGATAGCCTAGGCCTGTTTCCAAATTTTTTTTTTTTTTTTTCGGTACATTTTTCATTTGCTGAAATTGAAGACCATCACTTAGATGTGAGTTAATTTAAATTTTTTTTTTTTTAATTTCAATGTCGCCTACGGTTAGATCTAGTTTTTTTCAGATTCAAAATATTATACTAATTTGGTAATTTTTTCTTTTTTGTTTAAATATGTTTTTTGAAGAGACAAAAAATATTCGAATATCATGAAAACTTTGAATTTAACCTTTGAACTTCCATTGAGTTCAACCTTTGAACTGCCACTGAGTTTAACATTTGAACTGCCACTGAGTTTAACATTTGAACTGCCACTGAGTTTAACCTTTGAACTGCCAACTGTACGTAAGCCTGAGACAAGTTCATCTTGTGTCACCAGAAATGCCATGTCCATGACTGTCCTGTCCTTGCTGATGACCATCGTGTCCGGGTGTCTGCTGCTGTCCCTCCTGGGGGTGGAGTCCAAGCTACTGGGCGTGAGAATGGACACCCTGCCCAGACTCAGTGAGTTCAGAACGTGTAGGATTAAATGTTCATGTGGCGCGAACAGGTCATAACAAGGGTGGTCACGTGACATCCCTCCCTCCCCCACTCCCCACACACACATACACGATCCATACCCAACACTATCACAAGTTCAGACTGAGAAATTTTTTATTTTTTTTTTACTAAATTAACAAATAAAAATTAATTCGATAATTATTTTTTCGTCACACCATTGAGCAATGACGAAATCTCTCACATCATTGAGCAATGACGAAATCTCTCACATCATTCTGTTTTGTTTCTTTTTTTTTTTTCTTTTTTTTCCAGCCGATGTAGATTTGGGGTTTGTCATGTTTCCAGCCGTGACCTCTAACCTCCCAGCCCCGGCCATATGGAGCTGTATATTTTTCCTGGCCATCGTGCTGTTCAGCCTGGTGCAGGCGGCCGTCATGGTCCACCATATACAGCAGGGCCTGGTGGACATCGTTTACCTGCAGGAGGTCAAACTACGGTGGAGGGTGGCCATCCTGGGCACCATAACTGTTATCATGATGTCTTTCAATGTGCTCACGACAACGGAGGTGAGGGGGGGGGGGGGGGGGGGTAGACGAAACGGGATGGCTGTAATTAATTGAAAACTTCTTATGTGCATTCTCTTTTGTCCGGAATTTTTTTTTGTTTTTTCAATGTGCTCACGACAACGGAGGTGAGGGGGGGGGGGGGCGTGGATAGACGAAACGGAATGTCTGTAATTAATTGAAAACTTCTTAGTTGCATTCTCTTTTGTCCGGAATTTTTTGTTGTTGCATATTGGACTTAAGTTTCTGTAATATTTAAATAACTCCTACTTTATTATCTCACGCCATTACAAATTATCCCATTAAAATCCAGTAGTGGAGTAAATGAAGGATAAGGTTAGAGCGAATCATGAATCTCTCTAAATCATTCTAAAAGAGAATAAAAATGTTTATTGAATAATAAAAAAAACATTAATTATGCAATTCTTGTAACTGAACCAGACTTCATTTTTAAACCTTTAATTTGTAACTCTTTTTTTTCTTCTTATTGGCAAGCGAAACAAATATTGGACACTTATATTTTTAAAAAATTTTACCACAAAATTATGATGTCTGAAGTTACTTGGGCTGTGCGCTTAAAAATAAATAGATCTGATTAGACACACAATGTGAGAGGTGATGCTGAATTGTGCATAATTTTCAATGAATAGATTCGATTTTGTTATGTCAAAATTTTTAAAATGTTCATTTGCCGTTCTTCTTTTAATTTAATTTTCTTTTTTAAAACGTGTATTTTAAAAATATTTCACATTCACAGAATGGCTTGTACGTGCTGAGACTGCTACAGTTCTCTGTCCCTCGCCTCTCTGCCCCGCTGCTGGGCGTAGCTGAGTGCCTGACGGTGGGCTGGGGCTACGGGGCCCGTAGGTTTGCCGGCCGAATCACGGAGATGACCGGCAGAAATAAAAGTTTTGTCTGGAAGTGGCTGTGGAGGTGGGGTTGTCCGGTTGTTCTCTCGGTAAGACAACCCTCTTGTTTTGGGTTGTGGTAAAATATCAGGATCAAATTGTGTCAACACCCCAAACTCCAGACTTCTCACATCAAAAGAAACTCAAAAGAATAAATCTAACTATACAACTAAATTGAATTAGTGATGTAGTTAAAGGACCACGAAGAAACATTATGGGAAAATGCTGAACTCTATTGTTTGTTCCCTTGAATCCGATAGCACGTATGAGCCCCTAATTTTTTTATCTTTTACTTTAAATTGTAGTTATTCTCAAAATGACCCTATTTAAAATGGCATTGGATCATATATTCCTTGGGAATGCATGTGGATCGGTCGTGAGAAGATTTTGTTGGAGTCTTCTCTCTGGTCTCTAGGGACTGGTTACCATTTTAAAATCCTTTATATTAACTTCGCTTTTGTTCGTGGGTGGTTGGCGGGGTGGTAAAATCTTCTGATTGATCATTAATCCACTTCACGTCATCCTATTGAGCTGAAACCTGGCACACAGATTCGTTGTCAATGACAACACATTATATTAGAGCAAATTTTCAGCCCCAGTTTATCCTGTTGCAAGATTAAGGAAATTTACGGACATTAATTTCATGAAATAAAATTCCCGATGACTGTGCAAAACGAAATTCTTTTTTAACAAAAATATCGCAAGTGCGTTTGGTGCGTAATAATTTCTTTGTTGTTTTTTTTTCTGAAATAGTTGGTGAAATATAAATATATGCCTTTAACAGCAGGTGGGACAAGTGAAGATTAATATAACATGAAAATAAACAAATAGAAAACGCATGCAAAGCATTTATACGAAACACTTTGTTATAATGGGTTGTTTAATATCTTCAACAAGCTCGTGTCGTTTTGTCCCCGACAGATTGTTTCTATAGCATCTATTCTTACAACGAACTTGCTTCAAGATTTGCCTCCAGTTGATATGGACCAGAAGTGGATTCACGCCGTCGGTTGGTCTCTCAGCCCCATTATCTTGTTTCCTGGCCTGGTCATGGCCACAGTTTCATTCTGCGGTGTGCACGGGACATTCAAACAGGTGAGCGGGTAGGCTACACATAATTTCAAACTTCAGCGTGCGTTGAACACGCCAACAGGTGAGTAGGCTACACACAAACAGTCGCAGATTCTCATTCTTAAACGTTTCTGGAACATTACAGACTCGTCAAGGGAGGCCAACGGTCTTGAATATATACTCAATTGTATTCTAGGATTACTCCTCTTGGCTCATTTTAATATTTTCCAATATGTTTGGTAATTGTATGGATATTTCAAAGCGAATAGAATTTGGACAAATAGTTTTGTTATGATGCATAGAACTTAATTGTTTCATGAAGATTCACCTAATAATATTTAAATTGTAGTGTAAAATATTGGTAAATAGTTCAAGCTATATTGACATGTGATTAAATAAAGCCATTCAGTTGATTTTCACATATATATTAAAATTCATCTATACATATTTTGAGAAAACCTCATGTTATTCCCATAGATATAGTTAAACAGCATGCTATATATTTTTAAAACTTTATGTTAATTTTAACAAATACTTTAAACATATTTACTGAAATAAGCTTTCACAAGTTAAAAAAAACAACAACCTAACAACCATTTAACGTTCGACTAATCTCATCCCAGAGACTGAAGCAGCTGCGGTCCACACCTTCATCATGGGGCCCTGGTCACCCAGAGCACGAGCCCCAAGCCGACCTTCCAGATTATGTCATATGTCATCCTGACCCTTTCAGACCTGCGAATGCCCTGGCGATGCTAACAGCAAATCTGTACCTGCCAAATATTGTAAATTTTGTAAATATGCAGGTAAGCCTGTCTGCTGGTGCTTTACTTGGTACTTTTTTCAGATGTGTCTCTTCTGTTGTTGTTGTTTTTTAAAAATTAAACAAATGAATTTCAATTTGAAAAAAAATTAAAAACAGGATTATCAGGCTTGCTGTCCAATCCAAATACTTTAGTCTAATCAACAGCCTATATACTCTAGTCCAAACCACAATCAACATACTCTAGTCCACATCACATCCTATATACTCTAGTCCAAACCACAATCAACATACTCTAGTCCACATCACATCCTATATACTCTAGTCCAAACCACAATCAACATACTCTAGTCCACATCCCATCCTATATACTCTAGTCTAAAACACAATCAATATACTCTAGTCCACATCACATCCTATATACTCTAGTCTAAACCACAATCAACATACTCTAATCCACATCACATCTTCTTCTTCTTTATTTTAAGGGCCCACGATCAATGAATTGATCATTCTGGCTCCTATGTTTCAGAGAGGTTTGCGATGTTACTGTCCATGGGTTTCAATGGGATACTTCACTGGTTGCAAGGGCGACTCAGCAGTGGTGTTATGAACTGGGGGTTGGAATACAGGAGGCAATAGACACAAATGTATCGAGTGTAGCCGCCTCAACTGTTGCTTTTGGAAGCTTGTTCCAGTCCCCTATTGTCTTCGGCAGGAATGAGGAGCTTCTGTACTTCGTTCTTGTTTTTACCAGCCGGAACTGTTTGTCGTGACTTCGTCGCAGTCTGGGGGGAAGATTAACGAGTTTCTGTTTGATTCCGGAGCAGTGCACCAGTCCATTTGTTATCTTGTACAACATGGTGAGCCTGGATAGTCGTCGTCGTTCTTCCAATGTCGACCAGCCCAGTGTTTCCAGCATGCTGCCAACACTCGAGGTGCTTCTGTAGCGGTTCATGACAAAGCGTGCTGCCCGTCGCTGGACCGCCTCCAACCTGTCTATGCTTTTCTGGGTAAATGGGTCCCAGACTGTAGAAGCGTACTCTAAAATAGGTCGGACAAAGGCTTTATAGGCTTTTTCTTTCACGCTTGAGTTGCCGATCTTCAGATTGCGCCTTAGGAACCCCAGGGTCTTGTTTGCCCGGTTGCACACACTGTTAATGTGCTCGTCCCAGCGGACCTCTCTTTGGATGGTAACACCCAAGTACTTAACGGAGGAAACTGGCTCAAGAATATGGCCATGCAGTTCGTAAGAGTGGTTTAGAGGGAACCTGCTTCTGGAGACTGACAGGGTTTGGCACTTGACGGGATGAAATTCCATGTCCCAGCTTATCTCCCACTCAGCTAACCGATTGAGGTCTTGTTGAAGCTGGCTCTGGTCAGAGCTGTTGACCATTGTCCTATATACCGCCGTGTCGTCTGCGAACAGTCTTGCTTGAGAGGTCAGCTTCTCGGGCAGATCGTTGATATATGCTAGGAACAAACAAGGGCCTAGCACTGAGCCCTGGGGGACCCCTGACTTAACACTGACAAAGGAGGAGGTTTTGCCATCTACCACTACTGCCTGACATCCTATAAACTCTAGTCCAAACCACATCCTATATACTGTAGTCCCAATCGCATCTTATATACTGTAGTCCAAACCACATCATCTATACTGTAGTCCAAACCACATCCTACATACTGTAGTCCAAATCACATCTTATATACTGTAGTCCAAACGACGTCCTATGTACTCTAGTCCAAACCACATCCTATTTACTGTAATCCAAACGACATCCTATATACTATATTCTAAACCACATCCTATATACTCTAGTCCAAAACAACAAATCCTATATACTGTAGTCTAGTCCAAATCACAACCTACATACTGTAGTCCAAACCACATCCTATATACTGTAGTCCAAATTTCATCCTATATACTATAGTCCAAACCACATCCTATATACTGTAGTCCAAACCACATCCTATATACTCTAGTCCAAACCACATCGTATATATTGTAGTCCAAACCACATGCTATATACTGTAGTCCAAACCACATGCTATATGCTGTAGTCCAAACCACAGCCTATATTTTATACTATAGTCCAAACCACATCCTATATACTCTAGTCCGAACCACATGCTATATACTCTAGTCCAAATCACATGCTATATACTGTAGTCCAAACCACATGCTATATAATCCTATATAATTCAGTCCAAGAGAGATTAGGATGTCTTTAATGATGAAGTTTTTGAAGTAACATAAATCTCTGGGGAAAATAATCTGGAAGTCACTCGGTGTTATTGCTTTTCACATAATTTATGTATCATTGGCATTGGCTTATCATTGTTTTGTTGAAATAGGGTCAATATAAAATGGTGTAAATGGAGATTTGTTTTAAAAAATTGCATTGTTAAAAGGGTTAGATTTTTTTTACTCATTTACTTTAGTGGGATTTGGGACAGAAGGGGCTTGTAAGGAAATATCATATTCAGTTTTAAGACTATTTTTGTATATATATATATATGACCTAACTATCTTATTGATTTAGCTAGACATTGTTCAATCTTTCATTATATTGTTGCACCAATCTCTGTATAGATTTTGATATTGTCTTGTAATTGTTTCCCAATGTAGGGCGGAAGATTCAAAGTAAAAATTTGTGTTCTTTTCTTATTCTTCTTATTTTTTTTTTTTCGTTTGAGCTGATGTGAAATTAGTAGCATTGTTATAGTGCATTATGGGGGCTGTGCTAAAACACCAGATGGCATGCTATCCAATAATTTATTATGTAACAGAAGGCGTAATAGTATTTAGCAGTGTGCTGCTAACATTAAAATGTGGGGCGAGTAACCTTCTATAGAATAGTCCACATTAGGAATCGATAATAATTCAACAATTTAATGAATTTAATGTTAAATAGGCTAAGAATATTTTTTCACATTATATATTGACACTTTCATGTCTGTGTGCTTTTGTGCACGTGAATTGTCTGTATGCGCATCCTTTATTTGAAATCACATATGTGCTTTTTATGTGATACTCTGGCATTGTTCCACAACTGCAAATGGCATGCAATTCTGTGATTTTCACGCATATACTTATAAATACATTCTGTGGTATGTGTGTGCAAATCTTGCTTTATGTTGTATAGAATCGTGTTCTCATGCCATCAACAGACGATATTAAGTTTTAAAACAAGTAACTTTTACATTGAAGTCTTTCATTGTTACATTTGTTCACCACACTGTGAGCAAGAAGTCAATGTAACCCACAGCTGGTGTCAGTACAGTCAACACCACAAAACATCACATTTGTGTGTTAGATTCCTGAACGGGGTATCTTTGTGTGTTGTGTGCTCTTTGTGTTGTTTTAAGCAAGTGTACTTCATGTCATGCGTGCTGGTTAGGAGAATGAAGAAGGCAGAAATCATTTTCCCCCCTTAATATGCTTTTATTTTTTATGTATATAAGTGGGGATTTTTTATTTGGAGAAGAAATTATATGTTAGAAAAGTTGCAAAGTTTTTCGCAGTGTCATAATTCTAAGCACAGATGGATACCTCACTTATTATTACTCCACTAAAGGTCTGTGCCCCATGTGTTAAACTGAGAGCATTGTAATTGTGTTCTTAGTAATTTCATGATTTTTAATATAACTATCACATTTTTTAATTAATCATAATCATTTAGCCTGTAGAAAGTATTTTAACTGTAGTGTTATGTTTTATACGGCAGCCAGCAGCAGGGGACGCTGACATGGGACCCGACTACCTCTCTGATATGGCCACGCTGACAAGTTCTGATGACGATGACTCGTTGGACAGCCCCATCTCCAAGGATAGCTGTTTGGGTCGTTGCCACGCAACGGTGCCTTGCTTGAGTCACGTGATTGGTCTCGGCAATGTTGTCCGGTTCCCCTATTTGGCCTACAGACACGGTGGGGGTAAGTTTGAAGTTGAGAGTAAAGTAATTGGTGGGGGTAAGTTTGAAGTTGAGAGTAAAGTAAATGGTGGGGGTAAATCTGAAGTTAAATGTAAAGTTAGTGGTAGGGGTAAGCTTGAAGTTGAGAGTAAAGTCAATGGTAGAGGTAAGTTGAAATTGAGTGTAAAGTCAATGCTAGAGTTAGAGGTAAGTTGGAAGTTGAGCGAAAAGTGAATGGTGGGGGTACGTTTGAAGTTGAGTGTAAAGTCAATGCTAGGGGCACTAGGGGTAAGTTGAGAGTAAACTCAATAGTCAATGCCAGGGTTAGGTTTATGAATAGGTTGGGTGGAGGGGGGGGGAGAAGGGTGTAATGCATTTTGTTATGTATATGTTGGAGAGGAATTTATTTTTTATTGTTATGTCAATAATAATTAAGATCTTTGTACTATTATAAAAATACAAATGTCTTTTGGCCTAGGAGATATCGTTATTAATAGCAATATGTGCAGCAAATAATGAATTATACATTAATTTGACCAATACTGAATTATACATTCATTTGGCAAATGATGACTTATACCTTGATATGGCTTGAAGAAATAAATAATAAATAATTTTCTGATTTAAAATTTAACAAAGAACAAAATATTATTTCAACTCATATATTAAAATGCCACTCTTTTCTTTAAATTGTAGTTTTGCATATTTTATCTGATGAAATGCAACTTATTTTATGTTTGCAACTTTTAATTTTTTAATAAAAAAGTGGATTCTCAACCCTTTCTACCAGGTGCCTTCATTATAGCCTATGTCATAGTTTTAATTACTGTCGGCATCCCCTTGATCATTATTGAAACAGCCGTTGGTCAGTTCTCCAGCCTGGGACCAATAAGTGTGTGGCGAGCTGTGCCAATAGGCAAAGGTATCAGGCGTCTTCTCTTTATTCTCATTGAGCTGGAAACACCCTAATGGTTGTAATATAAGTTAGCCGACACATCATCCCATTTAGGTGAAATTGTTACGGAGTTTTTAGGTGTAAACTGTCTTAAGCTAGAGATAAATAATCATATCTATGCTCAAGTGTAAATAAGTCAATTTAGAATTAGGGTTGAAAATATAGAGATAAATTATGCTAGTATGAAAATTTATTTTATTTGGTTTTAAAAATTTGGATCTCTCCCCTTAATAATGAAGGCAAAACTCCTCCACAGGTATTGGTTTCTCCATGGTGTTGATCTCCCTTCTGACAACAATCTACTACAGTGCTGTCACGTCCTGGTCCATGTTTTACCTGGCCACGTCACTGACATCAGTGATGCCATGGAAAGGATGTGAAAATTCCTGGAATACAAAATGTGAGTGCTTGTCAGCTTTATCATATAGCCACTAGATTAGGGTTGTACCTTCAACAAATAACATTCACTATCATATAACAGCCACTAGATTAGGTTTATGCCAACTTCAACAAATAACATTCACTATCATATTGCAACCACTAGATTAGAGTTATGCCTTCTTCAAAAATTAGCATTCAAGGCTTTCGATAACCTGGATGGATTTTAAAACTTATCTCATTAAAGAATGGTCATCAACAAAATTACAAAAACATGAATAAACTTCATCGCTAACCAGAAAATTGATTGAAAGAAAATTGGTAGATTGAAAATTGATAGACGGAAGTTTGGTCGAATGGAAATTTGGTTGAACTTCTGTTTGACCAAACTTCCATTGGACCAATATTCCATTCAACAAAAATGCCTTTCAACCGAAATTTCCATTTGACCAAACTTCCATCCACCAAATTTATTTCAAACAAATTTCTGGGTACAAACTTTAACAAGACATAAATGCTGTCATAAATGCAGTTAAAATTTGCAATATTTTATTTCTTTTAAAACATTTGATCAAATCAATGAAATAATTTCTTTTACAAAGGTTCACTTAAATAATGAATATTCTTAAGATATTTCATTAACTCACTAATAACAATAATGCAGCTCCTAAAACATTTAAATATGAGGGATGAAATTTTATAAAATCTCGATGATTCCTTACAGCTTGTGCACCAGTGCTAGGGAACTTTACCAGCTGCCACAACCTGACCGCAACAAACCCCGGCGTCTACAGAGTTTGTGAAGATGAACAGGATGCAGTCTCCGGGGGATGCGTCAAGGACAATACTTCCGTGACATCACTGTGTCAAGTCAACACCACAGATGTCAGCACAAGTCTGGAGAACAGCTCAATGCGCTCAGCAGAGGAATACTTTTAGTGAGACTACATTAAGATTTAGATCACTTTACTAATGCATGACCCTATCTGGATCACAAACCATGCAAACAATTCCCCATTAAATTACTAAACACACAGGCTGGTAAATTTCTTGAGCAAACAAATTTACAAAGTTTATTTATTTTTTTTTTTTAATTCTTACAAATTTCATTTCCCTGAAACAACATTTCTTATTTCTTCAGCTTGACACAAATTTCAAACTCTATCTGCAGTTATTGAAATATGTTCTATCATATAATTAAAAAAAAATCACATTTTTTTTTTTTTAATTGATTGATTTATGTCCATATAAAAACATTTAAAAATTGTTGTCTGTTATCTATTTACAGCCTGTCTGTAGTGAAGCAGTCTGAAGGATTGCATCAAGTTGGAGAACTTAGATGGCAGATTTGTCTTTGTCTGCTGACCACCTGGGCAGTTGTCATTGTATTTTTGGTCAAGGGATTTAAGCCAGGTGGCAAGGTGAGGGTATAGAATGGTATTGAGCAAGTAACGGAACGAGGGGGGGGGGGGTTAACGGGGAAGGGGGTGGGGGTGTCAATATTAAGGTTCCTCTGAAATTTATTCCAAAATCTGGCTGTTAAAAAATCATTCAAGTTACTTTGTCATTGTATTTTTGGTCAAGGGATTTAAGCCAGGTGGCAAGGTGAGGGTATAGAATGGTATTGAGCAAGTAACGGAACGAGGGGGGGGGGGGTTAACGGGGAAGGGGGGGGGGGTGTCATTATTAAGGTTCCTCTGAAATTTATTCCAAAATCTGGCTGTTAAAAAATCATTCATGTTACTCTTGAAGTCAGTATTGGCAACATGGAATTTAGGTGTAATGATGCAGGATGTCTGTGTTTTGTGTATAAAATTTATTTTTTAAATGTCTTGCGTTAAAATGTCTTATGTTAAAATGTCTTACATTAAAATGTTTTATGTTAAAATGTTTTATTTTAAAATGTCTTGTGTTAAAATTTCTAATGTTAAGTAGATCTTACAATAATGTGTTTTGTTCAAGAAAATGCTTTACTGCCTGACTATCAAATGACACAAACAAATTTCTGAAATAAATTTCCTTCACTTATGTTAAAGGAGCGATAAATTTAATATTAAAAATCACTTTAATTACGCTATAATTATGAAGTTTAACTTTGAAAGTTAACTATCCACAGACCACATATTTATTTTTGACTTTGACATTCATCACCTTGGTTATCTTACTGGTGAGGTCAAGCTCCCTGATTGGTGGTCATGATGGACTGAGGTCAGAACAACTTTTTTTTTTTTTTTTTTAAATTATTTTGCTTTCCACTTACAAAAGCCAGCAACTTATAGGACCAGCCAATTATTTAAAAATTCATGTTGCTTTTCATGACTGTATTGTTAAAATAACATTTGCTTGTACATTAAATCAAAATGATTATTGCAATTTAAAATTAAAAAAAAAAAATATAACTTTTTTTTTTTTTTTTTTAAATTTTTTTGCTTTCCACTTACAAAAGCCAGCAACTTATAGGACCAGCCAATTATTTAAAAATTCATGTTGCTTTTCATGACTGTATTGTTAAAATAACAGTTGCTTGTACATTAAATCAAAATGATTATTGCAATTTAAAATTAAACAAAAAAAATAATTATTTTAAAACTAGAAATTCCAAAATAATTTTATTTGCCCATTATATTATAATTAACTTTAGTAACTGTTGATCCTTTAAATTATTTTAAAACTAAAAATTCCAAGATAATTTTATTTGCCAATTAAATTATAATTAACAACTATTATTATTAAAAACAACTGAAAGGATTTGTCCTGTAGATTATCATAACTGTGACTTTACTTAGTTAGTAATATATCATAACTGTGACTTTACGACTTGGTTAGTAATATATCATAACTGTGACTTTACTTAGTAATATATCATAACTGTGACTTTACTTAGTTAGTAATATATCATAACTGTGACTTTACGACTTGGTTAGTAATATATCATAACTGTGACTTTACTTAGTAATATATCATAACTGTGATTTTACTTAGTTAGTAAATATATTATCATAACTGTGACTTTACGACTTGGTTAGTAATATATCATAACTGTGACTTTACTTAGTTAGTAATATATCACAACCGTGACTTTACTTAGTAATATAATCATAACTGTGATTTTACTTAGTTAGTAATATATGATAACTGTGACTTTACGACTTGGTTAGTAATATATCATAACCGTGACTTTACTTAGTTAGTAATATATCATAACTGTGACTTTACTTAGTAATATATCATAACTGTGATGTTACTAAGTTAGTAATATATCATAACTGTGACTTTACTTAGTTAGTAATATATCATAACTGTCAATTTACTTAGTGATATAAAATAACTGAAGACAACCATTCAAACCATGAACCTTTTCCCAAGTTATAATTAATTATTTTGTTTATTTCTTTGCTGAAACAAAACATTATTTCTCTAAAAATAATCTATCTTTTATCGTTTATATTCTGGTATTTGAATTATATGATATGTTAACAGACATACTGAAATAAGAAATGCAAAAGATTTGTCCTATTCATATGTACAAGCTTTTAGGTCTAAGCAGTCTCTGCACATTTATGATTTGCCCACAGTTTTCTCTTCACACTTCAATGGTCCAAATTAATGGAGGGACAAGTTTGGAGGGATGCTACATCACAAGTGTTCTTCTCAATGTCACTTGGATGTGGCAGTCTGGTTGCCATGGGCACATACAACAAATTCAGTAACAATGTTATCAGGTACAGTGCAATTCACACTGAATAAAACAACATTCAATTTCTTTAGGATTTTCATTGTTTCATCATAATAATAAATTCATAAGACAAACAACATCCTCAAAACAAAAAATTACTCATAATTTAACTGTGAGACTATTACAATGTTACTATTTATAAACCAAATCATATCTAAGGAAAATGTATTAATTTAAAAGAATGCTCACTTTTAGTTTATGCTGTCTGTTTATTTACTTTGATACCCTAATTTACCCTGCCAATGGTATCTCCCAAACTCAATTTAACCTAACAATGCTATCTCCCAAACTCAATTTAACCTGACAATGGTATCTTCAAAACTCAATTTAACCTGACAATGGTATCTCCCAAACTCAATTTAACCTAACAATGCTATCTCCCAAACTCAATTTAACCTGACAATGGTATCTTCAAAACTCAATTTAACCTGACAATGGTATCCCAAACTCAATTTAACCTGACAATGGTATCTTCCAAACAGAGAAGCAGCCTTGCTTTGTATTATCGACACCGGAATGAGCCTACTGTGTAGTCTCGTAGTCTTTGCTGTCATAGGCACAATAGCACACACCACTGGTACAGATATTCAACAAGCCGCCAGGGCAGGTAAGAGAAAAACTTTGGTAGATATAATATCATCTGACCTCATTTATTCAGTTTTTATTCACAGCTGCAGTAGCCATTTCCTCCATAAGTCCAACAGCCCTGACCCACTTGGGTTGTTTTTTTTGTCCAATGTTTTTGTTTTTGTAGCAGGTAAATTTTTACTAATCCAATTTTAAAACCACCTTCTTAACTTCGTATGGATGGTTTGGATAGCGAGGGTGCACCAGAAGGATATCACCACTGAAAGGCCTGGTTTACTTGAATGGATGGTTTTGGTACCAAGGCCCAACAGAAGGATATCAACCTAGAAAGGCCTGATTTATTTTGAAAAATCACATTTTTTGTCTTGAATTTTCTTAATTGAAAAGTTTTTAACCATTTATGAACAAAATTTCAATTTCATAAAAATCAGTCCTTTCCAAATACATTATGAGACACTTCTTTATCATTTCTGTCTTTGGAAAGGAACTGGCTCTGACTTTGGCAATCAACATATTTTATATTCAATGGCTTACATCCTCCAAAAGCATAGCTGACTTACTTGACAGATGATATCATTCCACCCAGCATAATGACTGATTGCTGATTCTGTTGCAGACATTGGCCTTTCATTTGTCACCTTGTCCAAGGCCACACTGATGCTGCCCTGGCCACTGTTCTGGGCCATCCTGACGTTCATTGTCATGGTACTGTCAGGCATACTCACGTGTGTGGCCACAATGACCACAGCAGTGACCTCACTCATGGATTTCTACAGCAGCTCCTTCAAGAAGCACAAAACATGGCTGGTGCTGGGTGTGTGTGGAGCTGAAGCTGTCCTGGGACTTCCTATGATGTTTCAGGTAAACTGTGCCAAGCACTGCAATGTAAAATTAAATGTTTTAAAATTGTGAGTTCTCTGTTCCTTGTTTACCTTTTTAACTTACAGGTATGTGGCACACACACAAAAACCTCTCGAAAATGTTCTGTAACCCAACTTGTATTATTTCATTGATGCTTTTTGACATCTAGCTACAACTTTGAAGTTGTGTATCTTGTTTTTTTCAACTACCTTAGATACCGGAATTCAAATTGAGGCTTGTTTTTATTTTTCATCTTTAGCACATAAATTTGTTTAATTGAAAAGTTCTAAGAAATATAAAATAAAAGTTTTTTTTCTTCTAGGTTGGTTTCCACATTGTCTCCATCATGGACACATATCTGTCCGGCCTCCCTCAGTTGTTTATTGGTGGAGCTACAGTTGTGGCCTTCGCATGGATATACGGAATAGGGCGGCTGTGTACTGACATCAGCAGGATGTTGAATGCCCCCATAGGCTGGTGGTGGAGACTCATCTGGGCCGTGGTGTGTCCAAGTTTGATTGCTGTGAGTTACAGAATTAAAACATTTTTAAACAGTTTTAGTCTTAGAAATTTTGTTCTCATAATTGCACCCCCAACAATGACTAAAAGATTGTTGGTTATGGTAATTTCCTCAGCCTGTTCCCTCACACAAATTGATCACAAAAGCTATTCTCAAATCGGTGTCAGTTAAACCCATGAAAATTAAAATTATTTACATTGTTTTAAAAAAAATCTTAATATTAGGGAGTTTATTGGTTTTCCTTAGATGAGAAATGAAGTCTTTGGTACAAAAAAAAAGCAAGTTATTGATGAAGTCTTTGGTACAAAAAAAAAGCAAGTTATTGATGAAGTCTTTGGTACAAAAAAAAAGCAAGTTATTGATGAAGTCTTTGGTACAAAAAAAAAGCAAGTTATTGATGAAGTCTTTGGTACAAAAAAAAAGCAAGTTATTGATGAAGTCTTTGGTACAAAAATAAAGCAAGTTATTGATGAAGTCTTTGGTACAAAAAAAAAGCAAGTTATTGATGAAGTCTTTGGTACAAAAAAAAAGCAAGTTATTGATGAAGTCTTTGGTACAAAAAAAAGCAAGTTATTGATGAAGTCTTTTGCTTCTATGGCGCCACCTCTAAAATGGATTTGTTGTTTAAATCAGTTGTTGTAATTTATAACAAACCATTTAATAAAGTGCATTATAATTTTTTTAAATGACACAATTTTGGATGGAGATTTTTTTTTTTTTGTAGAGAAATCTATTAAATGGTTTAGCCATATTAAACAGCAGCCTTCAATTTCTACTGTCGCAGATGTTAGTGGTCAGCACTGTGGTGTCAGTTCTCAGCAAAGATGAACAGTTGAAGCATCCGTGGTGGGTCAAGGTCATAGGTCTAATCTTCTGGCTTCTGCTGCTGGTCCCTGTAATATTAGGAGGTTTTCATGAAGTTTCTCAAACAAAAAGTGGAGGGTTTGTAGAGGTGAGGAGAAATGGAATAAACTACAGGTTTATATAAGTGGTAAAATATTTCATAACAATGTCATTTATCTTTTCCATGATAATAATTATTTATTTATTTTAAATAAATAAATAGAGCATTGCTCAATTCAACTCTAAGGTGAATTTAGTGAAGAATTCTTAAACTAAATTATCTGTTTGTAAAAGATTTTAGTAAATAATTGTGTAAAAATTACGTTATTTTTAGAGACTTCGCAAATCTTGCCAGCCACGTAAAGAATGGGGGGCCACGTTACATCGGTGTAACAGCAATGTAGAATACTACCCCACAGTACACACTCACCTTGGCATTGATATCAGCAGAGAGGGGCTCAACACAGTGGCTGGTTGGTTTGACCTTCTTTAATGCTGATGTTGTCATTTGATTAATTAAAAATTTTAAAAAATTTTTTACTACTTTTTTCCCTGTAACTTATTGAATATGTACACACAACCACCAAATAATTACACAAAATATTTTCAGATGTTCTATTATAGCTTTCCAAATTATGTCCATGGTATTGGAATAATGTTAAGCTAATAAGTTTAGTTTAATTATATTTTTTTTTAAAATTCCCTAACTCTCATCTATATCAGAGCACAGTAACTCAACTAAGGCTAGGACTAGTAGTACTTGTTTCAAGAAATTATATCTAAAAGATTTTTTAAGCAGTATATAAAAACATGTTCATATCCTAGACCATGTGGAGTTTACAACAGTTGGTGTTCGTGTGCCAAGCTTGTCCCAGACAACTTTACTTCCCGTGTCCCCTGGCACACCGAGGGGTAAGAGGCCAATGGACATGCGTCACAAGGCCATACTCAACCATGCCTACAGCAACCCACAATGCCACCTTTCCTCAGGTATGCACTTGGTCATGTCACGGACACAAATTAAATTCTTGAGTTTTTCTTCTTTAGCATAGTGTTCAAAGCATGTCTATTTGGTTAAACTATTTTCGTATTTTAGAATGTGAATCTTCTGTGTGACGGACCATTTGTTTAATAGAAAAATTCAATGAGATATTTTCCTTACAATATGTCTAAGCATCAAGAGATTTATTTAGGCATGCTTATTTTACATGTTAAGTTCCATTAAATAATCATAGAGACTGTAATTCTAAAGATAATTATTGATTTTAAAAAATAACAAAATTAACTTCAACACTGAAAGAGTTTTCATCTTAAAATAATTTTTTATTGTTTCGTTGCATTCCCTTTTAGGATCCCTTGAAAAACTTGGTAAGAAATCTCGTGTCCCCATGTCGCTGCCCAGTGAAGAGTTGCAGGACGTCATCGTCATCAGGAGGCCCAAACACAAAGTAAGCACGCGCGACGTGTCCACCCAAACAGATCACAGCTGGGCTGAGAGTAAGCTTTGCAGACAGAGATCTGTAAGTCTCCATGTCACCCACAGCCCAAGCTTGATGTATCTTCGGTTGCTTTTTTGCCTGCCTTTACATTAGCAAAAGACTTAGTGTTTATTTTTTTACCACATATATAATAATAGATTTGATTACATATTTGGACTCCCAAGGTCGATTTTTAAAAACAACTTATTTAATTTTATTAGCAAATTTTGCTTTTTGTCATTAACTCAGAGAAACAGTGTACATTATTAAAAGTTAATTTAATTTAGCCTAACTAAGCATGACATTTTTGGACATCTGCTTCATTATGAGTACTTTATCAAAACCTCTGATTCAATGGGTTAGATTTAAAGCTTACAAGACTTTTCCTTGTCACTCTGACTTTTCTTGATTCGAGAGTAATTTAACTGCAGCACTCGAAAAGCTTTTCTAGGTTTAAAATTTCCTGGCTCTTCAAAAGAAAAGGTTTAATACACCTACAAGGGTAAGAATTGTTTCAATTATGATTTGACTGTATGGGATATTTATTTTCGTGCAATTTATGAGCAGTTCAAATTGTTGGCTTCATTTAAATCCCAGAAATGGCTAACTTTGCACATAAAATTTGTTTTACGCTTGCATTGTAAATTACTTCATGAAAAGAACACACACACCACTTCCAGAACCAAGTCAGATTTTTAAAAAAATAGCCTTTTTGTTTTGTTATGTTCCCCATGTATAACCACGTTCACTATTTTTAATGTCCAGCCAAAAAAATACATAAATGTCATAGTTTTTGTTGTAGTAGATAAATAGATGTTAGTGCAGTAGGAATAATAATAAATTTTAGTGATACTGTCAATTAAGTTGATCATGATCAGTTGATATCAAAATTAATTTTGGCTCTTATGGGGCTCAGTCAACATTGCCTTTTGCAGATCCTAGTCCTACTTCCTAGTTTTGACATTACCTTTATGGCCTCTCAAATAGAATTCTTGTTGAATGTCTCCTTAGGGCACTTTGCCATTTCACTCGTTGAATTTATTTACCTAGTCCTGGTACGAATTATATTATGGGCTGTTTAAAGTACACTGGTTCTAGGGATACTTTAGGATATGGTCTAGAAACACGATGACCTTGGCTTAAAATAAGACAGTTGGTGAGTTTTATACAAGATATGACAAACTTGTTGTAGGCCTATTAGATGCAGTAATGAATAGGCCTAATTATTTTTCCTGGCATTACTTTATAAACCAACTTTACCCAGCAACATGTCGGGCATCAATGAGATACAATTCTATTGTAAGGAAAATGTTGTTTTGTATGGAGGAAAATATATCTCAACAAATATATCTAAAAATTCTCTCCGCTCTCTCCCATAGACAATCACATTTATTTTAATGATTCATTAACCGGCATGTACCATTACATGTTTTTTAAAATTTAATATAATTTAAGGTTATAAGGAACAATAAAAAACAAAGGACAAGCGATATTAACAATAGTCAATTTAATTATACCATTAAATTTAAATACAGAGTGCAAAATAAAATAGACAGAAATATAAAAAAACTAGATCAACTTACAGCACGGGAATTGAAAAAGTACAATCCTCAAAAGATGCAAATATTATGTATACACACATACATAAAGAGTGAATTTTGTAAATAAATTAAGTATTGTCAATTTCTAGTAAAAAGTGAAAATCTCTCTTGTTATGAAAACTCCTGATTTATAGACCCATATTTATATATATAAATATATTGGGGGAAAATTAGAACCCTCTAGAAATGAAATTATAGAAATTACATCAGCTGATAGCATTCTTTAGAACAAATAGAGCATATTCAAACATAAACAATCTTTTCCTAATCAAAGGAGGGGTGGGTGAAGAGGATTGGAACTACACGTTTAATCGGTGACATCAACATCAAAATGAAAAAGGTGGGAGGGGAGTGGTGGAAACTTTAGCTCGACGTTGAAGTGAAATTAGTTCAATACACAGGCTTTTCTCTAAGATTGACCAATGACCATTCTATTGTTCCAGCAACCTATTGTTAATGTGACCAAAAGAACGCCTGCCCTGATGCGGTCATCGTCTTGGCATCAGCTGGGAGGTCAGCCGGCCATTTTAAAAGTCAACACCCAACAGCTGAACAACACCAAGACAAAAGTAACAACACCGGTGAGAAGTTCAAAACATACACATTTTTAATCACTTTTATTCAACTTGACATGAGTGATGCCTGTCAGTCAGTTTGGTTGATTCACCTTCTTTGGCATTACTTTTTAGCAATCTTTGCACAGATCAGAGAAAGTTATACATTGGCAGATATAGTTTTCCCTTAAACTATTTTTAAATATAAAATTTTTGATATACTGGTGTCCCAATTTCATTTAGTAAAAATTTAAAAGCAAATCGCCCATGAACATTGTCACTAGTCAGATCCACAACTGTAGCAATTACTTAAGTAATGACTGGGCAATTAAGAGAGAATTTTGCACTCATAATCTGTACGTCTTGGGTTTCTTTTCCAATTCAACAAATATTTGTGTGTGCAAATTTGCTGTAAACTAATTGATAGAAGATTCCATAACATAAACATAATTCATTTATCAATTTCAGTATAGGAAAAGAAAAAACTTTCTGATTTGAGAGCACACAAAAGTATGTCACTAAGACATTATGTATATATTTTTATTTCAAGTCTACATGATCTGTTGCATAAATCAATAGCTTTTTAAAAATTTTATTCATACACAAAGTTTGTTTAAACTTTCGGATCTTTTCCTACATTCTCTTCTTCTTTTCTGTCCTCAGCCCAAACACAAAGAAACGATTGCTCAGAGACGACGCAGGTATGGACAAAGCAAAGCACCAAATCTGAGGCTTTTGATTGGTCGGGATGAGGGCCAGCTTGCGCCTAGAACTACAAACTATGAACTACCTTGTGCCATTACATTAACCAACGAAGCTCTACAGGCGCCTGTCCGTGCTTGCGGGGTCCTCATCGATTCATCTGAATATTCAACATTACCCAGAAGCCCTCGCGTTAAAACACTTGCGACCTCCGTGGGCCCTCCTGTAACCCCACCCCCGATCAATCCTCAGGGTGGGAGTTCTGCTACTGCTACCACTGCTGCCACTGCCAAAACTAAAATATTGGTGAGTAGCCACAGCCAGAGTGACATGTACAGACCCAAGCGGCCTGGCCTGGAGAATTATGGTAGCACCCGGGATGGAAGATCCAAGTCTGTTGAGGAGACACCGGTCTGTATCCAAAACATGATTCCCAAAACACTCACCTTAAACATTACCACTGACGGTGCCTCTCGTAACAGTCTAAACAGGGCAGACAACGTCAGTGCTAAAAGGCGTCGGCAGAAAATAGCCGCCACTCGGACTAAATCAGAATCTGAAAAATTCGCTCTAATGAGGTCGACTCGCAAAAACAGTCTTTCTTCTAGGCCGTTGAAAATGCTTTCCAACAATGTGCATTGCAGGAGTAAATCCTTTTCAAGCAAAGGTGGGAATGTCATCATGGAGGAAGAACTGGATCCTGAAATGGATGAAATTCGAGATGACTTCCGGGCGTGTCTTCAGATGATTCATGCCGAAAATGAGATGAGCAAACTCTAAGGCACCGGGTTGTTACCGCTTTTGTTTTATTTATAACTTCTGATTTGTTGACCATCAAAATTATTCGAATGATTTTAACTAAGAGGAGAAGCTGAAATATTGTTAATGTACACAATGATAAAAGTTAAATATTCATGTTGATAAAAATATTCTTAAAATTGAATGCTTAAAAACTGTGAAAATGGAGAAGTTATGGGGATATTTACAGATACCAATATTATTCTAATCAAAGTGTAGCTTTACAGACAGAAATAACATGGGGAAACGGCCATCGCTGATAGAATTTTGCTACCCGTGCATCAGTTCTCTCTGTAGCAGTCTCTCATAGGACCTACAGACCATCATCTGTAGCACTATGCCAGAGGGCCTAAGACCATGACCTTCACTAACCTGCAAGAGAGAGCTAAGTATATCACCTACAGCACCAAAAGTACATGAGGGGTAAATGCTTCCCTTGACATTCTATTAGGAGGCGACTTGACCTGCCCTCCTGGTAACCAGGTGAACACCTTATGGAAACACCTTGTCAGACCAACAAGTTTCTCCAGTACACATAATTATATTTAATACAACTAAGGGGTTGTTCATAATCGGCGTCTGCATTTTCTGGCTTTTTAATCCACATATCCGTATTCCCATATGGCTTATCCTAGTCTCTGGCTTGCTGACATTCGCCTAAGTATTTATACAGTGCGGAATGTCAGAGTATAAAAAACGATTACAAGAGCAAAGAGTCAGTAGATTTAAACTTCTAACTAAATCATTAAATTAAGTCATCAAGACATGGAAATAAGACCAAATATTGTGAAGCCCTAGCTCCCGGTTGTCCACTTTTGAACAAACCCCTAGTTCTTTATTCACAATGATAAAATATTGAGCAATAGCTGCTTGCTATTGAATTAGTGCTGTATGTTACATTAGCTTACACATGAAGAACTTGCTTTAAAACACTGCAGTTGTAGCAGGCACCGGTCTTTGCAAAACCAGTTAGCAATATTTCTTGTTGAACTATGTTGTTTGAATACTGGACTTTGATGTTTGTACCTGTGTTTGATATGCTGGTTGAAAATGTGTCATTAAATGAAGGTAGTGTATGTGTGACATGAAGGTAGTGAATGTGTGATTTGAAGATGGTGTGCATGTGACATGAAGGTGGTGTATGTGTGACATGAAGGTGGTGTATGTGTGACATGAAGGTAGTGTTTGTGTGACATGAAGGTAGTGTTTGTGTGACATGAAGGTGGTGTATGTGTGACATTAAGGCAGTATGTGTGTGTGTGATATTAAGGTAGTGTATGAGCATAATTAACCGAAGCTAATCATGAACACTCTACTCAGATCATTCCATTAAGTAGAAAATTGTCTAGGACCTTTGTAATGCTTCTATCATTGGTTTCACAAATAATGTTGTTTTTTTAAGACCACCTCTGTACATATTGTGTAGGATTGTTTGTTGCTGTGATTACGTGGTAAAGTTGTGATATCATATAGAACTGATCCAACGTAAATATCAGTGGGTGATACGACACGACGACGTTATGGACGGTTCATGCTGATGACGTGTCACATTGTAATATGGTATGTTGAGTTCACCAACTGCTTGAAAAAAAATCCCTTTGGCCTGAAGTTAAGTCTAGCATTGCAATGTTTTATTAAATTGGCTTGACTGGAATGCACATGTTATTTTTTTAAAAATATAATATATGATCAGTATATAACGCTGGTCAATTATTTAACCGGTGGTTGTTGCATTGTAAATGTTGTACATATGAAGTATTGTATATATGAAGTGTTGCTTACGATATTCAAATATATGCCTAGGGGAAGTAATTTATTAGTCTAGGGGAGGGAACTATTTGACGATTGGTTGCAGGAAGAAAAAAAAAGCAAGAGAGCTGCTTTCTCTGGTGCGTGTTTTCTCTGACACGTGCTTTCGCGGCCATTTGCTTTGACTGACACGTGCTTTCGCGGCCATTTGCTTTGACTGACACGTGCTTCCCCAGCATGCATCGTACAACGTTAAACTTCGTTTCTGCAAAGGAAATATAGGAACACAATCGTGATATTATTTATTCCTACGGTACGTAACTTGTTTATTTATTGTAGAATTCCTTACATTTAACTGAAAGTCCATAATATCTCATGGGATCGCATCAGAGAGGCTGTGTTCTCATAGACTTCAGATGTCAATATTTTGGACCAACAGATTCGATCTCACAGACTAAAGATGTCAATTGATTGGACCATCAGAGATTACGTCTCACAGTCTAAAGATGTCAATTTATTGGACCAAATGAACTTCGATTCATAGACTTAAGATAATATGTACTTGACCAATAGAGTTCATTCTCACAGACGAAAGATGACAATATATTGGACCAATAGATTTTGGATCTCACAGACTAAAGATGATAATATATTGGAACAATAGAGCTTAGATCTCACAGACGAAAGATTTCAATATATTGGACTAACAGAGCTTCTATCCCTTGGACTAATTGTATCAGCGGTATAGATGTGAAGATGATTTTCATCATAAACAATTAATTTAACAAATTTAACACAGCTTCTTTGCGATGATTCGAATGCTTTAGCACACACAGACACATATTGATTAAGGCTGAAACACAATAAGACACACACCGACAAGTAAAGACACACGACATGTAGACATAGATTCACTTTCGGACACACTGACACACGGTGGCACCTACACTAAAACAAAGGAACCGTTGCGGCTCAAAGATTAAATTACGCATCAAATGCTTTAATCGCATTTCGTGAGATGACGAGCAGAAATGGAAGAAGCCATGAAGCTGTATTTGCAGCCACTCACATGAAATATTAAGCAATCATAATTTTTTTCTCCTCGTTTCTTTCTTCGAAGTTTCATGTTTAAATTTTGAGACTAGTATTTACATTTACAACTTATATTGGTAGGAATTTTGATACTTTATTGTAAAATTCTTCACGTGATGAAATCTTATAATTGTTGAATTATTATCTTCTGATGTAAATTAAATATGGTATGTTTTGGGTTTGTTTTTTTCAACAGAAGTGAGGGCGTGTTTGTGTTTCAGTATTTATTGGTACACATTTTGTGAAGAGTGGAATGGATTGTCTGGCTGAATATTATGTGATGTGGGAGATAGAGAAGGGAAGAGAAGGGAGAAAATGAAGAGAGAGAGCAGAAACAGGGGGAGGAGAGACTAAGAGAAAGGTGCAAAGTATTAAAAGTGAGCGAAACAGGCAGAACCGCCAAGAATCTATCGGTGTGGTATCAGATCCCAAGAATCTATCGGTGTGATATCAGTGCCCAAGAATCTATCGGTGTGATATCAGTGCCCAAGAATCTATCGGTGTGATATCAGCGCCCAAGAATCTATCGGTGTGATATCAGCGCCCAAGAATCTATCGGTGTGATATCAGCGCCCAAGAATCTATCGGTGTGATATCAGCGCCCAAGAATCTATCGGTGTGATATCAGCGCCCCAGAATCTATCGGTGTGATATCAGAGAGTATAAGGGACAAGGGACAGAAAAATGCACAAGAGAGGCCGACCTCAGAGTGAGCAATGATCACCAGTTATTTGTTACATTCGTTCTTACGATACAAGAGTATGTCTTACTTGACATTGCCTATGATTCATTTGGTCATACGTTTCTCATTACGATGCTTATCACTAGAAATATGTTCATTCTCATTGCAAATTATTTATTGAATTTTTTTTTAATTATTTGTTTTTTTATTTTTTTAGCAAGCAGAAATAAAGCAATAAAACAAAATGGCTTTTAAAAGAATGGCGTTTCCCATTGGAGTGTTTTCATTATCAAATGTTATTTAAATATATTATTTTTTTAAAAATTATTATTATTACTTTTCAAATTTGTTGCTTACACTGACATGAGCTTTCTACAAACAGATTGAGTTGAAAAAAAAATATTTTTTTTCAAAATTTGAATAAACTTTCACGTCAGGCTTCGATGGTCGCGGGCAGACGGTCACGGGCAGACGGTCGCGGACCACGAAGAACGTCCTCCCTCAAGGAGCAGTCTCTCGGAAAAAAAGACAAACTAATACACGCCTCTGTGAAGGCCTCTACACTCGTACACTCTAGTCTCAGGGAATCGTCATTCATCGCCTGCCCGCTCTCCTACGATCTGTGGATCTGATGAGTAAGGCGACCATAGCGATGCCGGGCATCCTGTGACATGCTGTGACACATGACCTCACTCAGGGTAATATTCCTACAAATTAGCAACTGTTTCCGGCAATATAGATAATGGTTCTGCCCAGGTTGCATCTTTATATTTTATGTTTTCGACACGGAAGTCATATGGTTGAATTGCTAGAGCCCATCGTGTTACCCCTAGCGTTGTTTTGGTCTATGCACCTGAACCATGTCAGCGGTGTACGGCCTGTCTCTGTGACCCATTTTCTCACATACAAATCCCACCCTTTAGGGTGACTTTGTGCCACCGGCTTCAACGTGGTCCTTGAGCGTTCGATTAAAGCGCCCACATCGTTGGCATGACTATAGGAAGAACAATAATCAACAAGAGCGAGATTAAGGGTCTATTGCACACTTTTACAGAACCACTTAAACTTAACGTAACTTAAAGAGACATGATTGACTTTCTACCGTAAAACGGCTAACGAAAACGCTGAGTGAATATGTTGCCTTTTTAAAAAAAAAAAAAATAATAATAATTGTTCAAACACGTTGTTCCTGGCGACGCCCCCGACCCCAACCCCCTACGTCACGCCGATCTTTGATATTTAAAAACAAAATAAAACCGTAGGTGTGATGACCAGTTTATCACCCCCCCCCCCTTTTTTTCACGTTGGTTTGAAAGACGTGCCCAATCTGGATCAGAAAGTGCAGTCAGGGCCAGAACTCCACTCGTGGCAATCACCTGTGACGACGGCATTCATTATGCAACGACACGCACCGTTGACGTTTCACACTCGCAGGTCTTCAGCACTTTGTGGTGTTAGAGTGTAGATGTGCCAGTGGCGAAGAGTAAAAATCCCCCACACCTTCCCCCTATACTGTCGTTGCCGTTTATCAGTATAGTATATATACAAAA